ACAATTAAAACGTGTGCTAAAAATAGAATATTACAGAATTAAAGAGTGATAGGACTTCGCCAAGTTCTTAGATGCGCCGCAGGTAGTTCAGGAAATTACTCACGACACATTTTGATTATGTATCCATAAAAACCAAAAGAAATCTGCCTTAAATTAAACTTTGTTGGGAAAAAGGGTTTGTACATTTGAATCTAGATGGGCATCCTCTTGGTACCCAAGTATATTAACCTCTATTTACAACAATACATAACATTCACCGTTAGATTCATACCGACTAACAAACACTGTATTATCTTGGAGAAATATTTGAATCACTCATTTATCCTGTTAGGTAAACCAGGTATACTGAGCATGACAAATACCAGACATTAGAACTAACTCAGCCTTGCACCAACGTAACCTTTTAAAACATTAACAACAAGATTTGGAATGAATTGCAGACATTCACATCATTCAACAATTTGCAAAACAAATTCAAACAGTAATAGCACATGTCTATGACTATCCATAAGCTGCAGCAGGCTTTCAGGGTCAGGCCCATAGAGCAAATGTTGGGAAAAAGTCAGCATTCAGCAATGTGGAGGAATTCAGCTATACTATAGGCAGGCAGAGCCACACAAACCATGGGGGATGTAGTTCTACGAAGGCCTTTATAATCAACAATGGACATCAGTCTCCACTATTAATGAACTACAGTTCCCAGAGTGTTTGTATCCACAGAGCTGGAAAGGCCTAGAATGGCATCTGCTTAATCCTGGGGCTCAGATTTTAGCTGCTGCCCAGAGCAGTGAGTTCTCCACTGGAGTAAAACACCACAACAAATGCCCCCTTTCAGGCTTCAAAGGTAGGCTGTGTGAGCTAAGAAACAGGACAGAGAGGACACATCTTTTGCCCTAGATGCAATTGTCTCAACTTGATATCTCATTGTACTACTACACAGCTGATGCTAAGACAGACATGACCAGGCTATGTTGACATTGGTATAAGCTGACATGTTTACTGTCATGGCTGTAGTGCGTTTCAGATACCTCCGGTAATATATTAATATAATATGCATTGCACAACAGTGCCCATTTGTTCCTCACACAACTCCTTGATGATGTTTCTGACAGTCACTACTGCATCGTCGTTTAGATGACAAGGAATATTAAGTTACCATTCAAATGAAATTAAACAGACCTTTGATACATTAGTGCAAATCATATTTGTATCTAGCAGTCGTTCCTGAGTTCCATTCCTGAGTCTACTGCAGTCATATGATATGGTAAATAAGATAACCTGACAATAGCATGATTGAGAAATCAAAACATCTTCAACATGTCAGCTCACATTAGACAAGAAATGTAAAAGACATGTTTCTTGATTATGTTTGTCAGAAATCCCCAAATAGGGGGTTTTGTCCCATTTTCACAATAACGTGACATGACAAATGTGTCATTTAGCGACAAGTGTTCTCTATCAAATATGTATACATCCGAGTAAATGTATTACATGTTTAAAGTATGTGTAGCTGAGGAGGAGATGCCATCACACCTGTCCCCGTGTGTGACTGCCAGCACATGGAAAGTTGGACACCTCTCAACATAAACTCTAGCTGCTCTCAAATGTGACAACGCAAATCAAGTTGACACAGTGGTGGCAACTATCCGACCAAAAGAGGCGAAGGATGAAAATACCTGACTGGTTTATTTGTCAACACTTCCTGTCAGAATTTCAACGAGTTTCGAGAGGAACGGGCTTAATCTATACGTATCGAAAAGTTAGCTGACGGACGATCGGAGTTAATTTACATGATTTGGAAAAGTGACGTAATTGCACCACAACTACGAAATGGCAGATAGTTAGCTGGTCGTTTAGGTCCCCGGGTTAACGTGCATCTTCCATTTTATGTGTCTGGAAAGCTGCTGGTAGAGCTGCAAACTTGTGATGGGTGTTACGAGACGACAGCACCGAACGAGGCCGTCGTCGCTTCCACCCGAACTAGGCCGTGGTCACAGCCTGCGCTGCATAAATAAAACATTTCAACCGCTCAGCGTGAACAACTGCTTGTGCTTCACCAAACATTATCGACATTAAACACTCCATAAGCATCTGAACTGACAGGAGGTGTTGTTTGGGTAAAGTGCTGGCTTATTTTACGTAATTTCAGCGGCCTGGGAGGGGGTGGTTGCCAACTGCGAGCTAACTCGCTAGCTAGCCGCGCTAGGAGAGGAATGTTGCCTAGCTCTCTGGTTAGGCTTAGCTAACTAGCTTAGCTTAGCGTAGCTACCTCTGAAACCTCGTCTTCGTCGCTGCCGGATCCTGGACCCGAGGAGAGGACGGCCGCGGCCGCCAGTTTGAAATCCAGTCTTTCTGCTGCAGGCCCGCCTGGTTCGCCGTATAAACGTACTTTCTTTCCGCCTACACCAATCCCAATGCCCCCTAGTCCGACTCCTCCTGGTGTCGCTCCTACCCCCATCCCTGCCACTGGGGAGCGAGGAGTCACCGAGTCAATCTCGTCCTCGAAGCCGTCCGTCAGCATTGCCGTCCCGGCTACTGCATCCTGCATACTTCTGTTCACAATACGTGTGTTCACGAGCTAGTTGTTGACGTAAACGTCCGTCCAGGCTCTTTCTTCTTGGATATTTGCGTGATTTTACTTCAGGGAATCCAGAAACTCTCCCGAAGCGAGGGTTGAGGAGGATCTCTTTCCCCCAGCCATTAACTTTCTAACAACCTAACCCGATACGCACTGTTTCTCAGAACGACCGCCTCTGTGGGAAATCCTGGGAATCCTATTGGTTGAGCAGGAATAAACTCAGTTTTCAATTGGTCGAAGTATATGCTTGTCAAACATTAGACCGCAACGTCATGTTAGGTTTACCAATATCACGAGGCTGTAGAACGAACGTCAAGACATGACATGGTAGGCCAACTTAACTGGTAGCTAGCTTTATAGTTCATGTAAACTCTTATTGGGGAAGCACGTTTATAGAAGGACTACTCTGACAGTGAATTGGAACATGTTATACATTTAAATGTCTAATTGTATGTGATCTTTATTGATTATAAATATCAGTGTATGACACTACCTCACACATTCCATATGCTCTATCTAATTTATAGCGTTAATGTGACAGTGAAAAATATAATATATACTTTACAAGAATAAAAAGAGGATAGTTTAAGGGACCATAATACTAAAGAAACATACACCAACTCACATAAAAACAAGAAAAAAACAATGATTACCTCGGATCATGATCACACTTCTTAATAAACATCTTAATTAGTGCATATTTAATGTGTTGCATCAAACCGCAATACCATGGTATCCTTTGTCCTTTTGTTCAATCTGAGGTGACGTGGGTAATAGAGACAAGAACAGAATTAAATGTACAAACTAATGACTCAAAAACACTGGCCCTTTGGTGCAAAAACGTTTATTTTGAAGTATTCACAAATGCAAACGTATTTACCTTAACCCTATAATGTTTGGTCTCTAGAAAGCCTTTGCTCTTTATATGTTGTTTTATTATATCATATGTATGTGTCAGTTTAGGAGAGGATGGAAGTACTAAAACAGGTGAATTTCACTTTTTTTTTTTTTTTTTCTTGTCAAATAATATGAACCAAGCAGTATTTTAATGTTGCAAATGATCCAGGCAGTTGCAATTCCAGCTACTCTAGCTAAGTTTGATATACATTAATGGATCATATTAAAAGACTAAAACAAGGGTAAAATGTGCAACATTTCCCTCTAAATATACGTGTTTTAGGAGTAGATATAAAAAGCAGAAAAAACATATTGAATATTTAAGTAAAATACAAGTAATTCAAAATTATACTTGATTACATTATTTGAGACACATTAGAGTTTAGAGGGGACCGTTTTTATTTGGTCATGCCACTGCCATTTCAAGGGCACTTCTGAAGTTTCGGAAGGAACTGAAACATCTTTTGCATCAATCCAACAAGGGAAATCTGTTTGACCTATTGCTACGTTTGTTAGTTTTGGGCTGCCACCACACCAACAGCTTGGAGAAGCTTGTTGTTTACATTGTGAGTGCTGCTTGTTCACTTTTCTTGTCCAAATGTTCTGGTCCAAACTGATGGTAGTAGTCCCATTTGTTACCAAAACCAATTGACCAAGGCTGAATAAGGTCATGATAAGCTTATACATTTGCATCATCATCCAAAAAAAAACTTCAAAATCTAGGTTGTCTAGTGGTCTTTTTGAGTGGGTTTAAATGTTGTTGTTTTTGTTAAAAAAGCCGAAAGCATCCCAAGTTACTGACCACTGTAAAGTTGGATAAGAAGGCCAGGAGATGCACCCGGCCCGCACAGGGCCTTGGGCAGCTACGTCACAACGTTTGGGCGTGGACGCCGGCTATTCAGATATGGTTGCCAGGTTTGTATAAAACCCGTACTTTTTTGTCAATTATTAGATTCAAACATATTACAGGAGATTTATAAAACACAAATTATTGTTGAAATTTGACACATTTCAAGACAAAACAAGATACAAGTAATTAACCCAATCGTTTTTTGAAGGTTTGATGGTAATTTAGGGCTGCACGATTAATCCATTTTCAATCGAAATCACAATATGCATTTTATGTCATTTTCAAATCATAGGATGCTCAATATTTGATGAATGCTGAAAAAATGTTTAATGTACCATTTTGAATAAAGTATTGTGAAGCACCAGTGATATCCCGGCATACAAATAATTTACTACAAACTTAACAAAACAATACAATACATTAATACATAAATAATACTATAACGATTTTAACATATATTTTTAATAATAATGAGAATTTTGATGCAAAATTATCGACCCCTTCAATATCCTGAATCATATCGCAATAGAAATATCAGTCAAAATGATTGCCACTTTTGTGTTCATGTTTTTGCAAATCGCGCTGCCCTAGTTGAATGACGTGACTGTGTTGCAGTTTGGAACAGAGGAGAGTTTTAGTGAAGTGCGTCGTTAGGAAGGCTATGAAAAGGGGGTAGTTGGGGAGTTCTGGCAACCCACCTCAAGGTTTCAGCTGCATCACGCAGGTCTGGTCATACATACTCCGGCGTGTTGCATCTACTCTACTATCAGGTACATTGATTCATGCAACTATTCATTGACTTAAACACATGCTTACTTCATAAACTTAAGATTGCACCACATAGCTACCATTGTGTATATGAGATGATAATATAATGCAGTTAGTAAGTGAATGCTTTCGTTTGAGCTAGCTAACTGCTAACGCTAATAACATGGCGCCGGGTGAGAGGGCCGCTTTTGTTCTTGTGGTCCGGGTGCGGTGGTGAGCGTGCTGAGGGCCACGCACTCTTATCGAAAATGAATGAAATCCTAAATGACTAATTAATTATTGGACGTCTGTGTACTGTTTAACATTTATCGAAACCCATCAACATCAGAATTGTTGTCGAGTGAAAGTTATTTAGCCACACATTGTTGTTAGCTCACGTTAGCTGGCAACGACCCGGGTTCGCGGTTTAAATGAAGAGTCTAAGCGACGATGAGCTGGTAGTAAAGCAATTGTAACAAAGGCACGCTAATTGTATTTTTTAGGCAACAACATTCTTTGTAGCATTGAAAAACCACAACATTGTGATTTTATTGATTTGGTTCATAACTATACCCGTTAGCAATATCAAACGGTCTCAAGATGGCGCTGCCAACTTATTCACATTTAACGTCTTTAAGATGTATAGCAATTTAGTTTAGACAGAAAACGTTAGTTCAAGCATGTTATACACACATTTACCGATACGGTAGACCTGCAGGCGTTTAAGAAATAAGAAAAATTGCACTAAATTCCCCTATCTGATGATAAGTACCGTGTTCTTGGGATTTACTGAGACACTAATGGAAAACTAGGTTGTTGGATAAACACCTCAACGGAAGATTTTATCCGTATCCCCATCATACTTAATACTATGTGTTTCCCCCTCAGGTATCTTCAACAGTCATGGCTGATGAGGGATATGTCGTGCGTATCAGGGGTCTCCCATGGTCCTGCTCAGTGGATGAAGTACAGAGGTTTTTCTCAGGTAGTTATCTATATATTATTGTTATGTCATTAAATACCTAAAGATATAACATTTATTATACGAAGTGACTTAATGGAACAAATTCCCTATACAGAGAGCAAAATCATCAGCAGTGGAACTGCCATCCATTTCACCTACACAAGAGAGGGGCGTCCCAGTGGAGAGGCCTTTGTGGAGATGGAAACAGAGGAGGACTTGAAGATTGCTGTGAAAAAGGACAGAGAAACGATGGGCCACAGATATGTAGAAGGTGTGCAAACTTGCTTTTAGATCGTGACTCCTTCTGTGAGTTGTCTCAACTTTTTTGCTGTGATCGCTAATGGTTATGTGTCCTGTGATACAGTTTTTAAATCCAACAATGTCGAGATGGACTGGGTCATGAAGCACACGGGTCCAAACTGTCCAGAAACAGCAGGAGATGGGCTCGTCCGGCTCCGAGGCCTTCCCTTTGGTTGCAGCAAGGAGGAGATTGTTCAGTTTTTCTCAGGTAAGGATGCGCCTTGCTCAGTGGTTAATGGTAAAACTGCTTTAATGTATGTTGGTTATGTTCATTTTTCTTCTTCCTTTTCTTGTTTCCTTTCTCCTGTGGACCCTTAACCAATTCTTGCATCTGATTTTTACAAAGATGTCAATATGCCACTGGAAAATGATTGTAACCTTCTTTATTTTTTTTTACATAATAGAGTAGTAAAATAACATGTTTTTGGATTTGTGATCAGTGAGGAAATTATGCCAGAAAAGGAAACTGGTTAAACTTTAATTGAAACAACTATTTAAATACTTTGTTTAGTTCAAGGGCAGGAATCTGTAACGCAAAACACCCCCTTCCCATCCTTGCCCATCATATCCATGTTCAGCCCATTTCATCGCTATTTTCTCTTTATTGGTTCTGATATTTCAAAACGGCATAGTTTAATATCTCTATGTTTTTAATATTTGGTTTAAATGTTATCTGTTTCTACTGGTAATTTACTAATGATGGAATGGGTCTCACTCACTGATTAGACGGTCTCTTACCTAACATTTATTGTTTCCTTTACTCACAACCTTTTTAATGCATTTTCTTAAATGAACTGTACAGAGAGTGTTGCATTGATTCTAAATGCACAAGAAGTCATTTTAACTCTTATCACCAACCAGGTTCTTTCTCTCTCTTCATCAACACACCAATACTAGCCCGATGTCCCACACAGTGCCCTTTTCCATATTCTTCCTCTATCCTCTCATTTCTCCCCAACGTACAATAAATATAAAATATTATATATATGATATATATAAAATCATTTATATGGCCAGTCATTGGTAAAATAAATACTGACCTGGTATGTGTGATGATGTATAGAGTTTTCCATAAGTTTTCTATCTCTCTTTAGAGAATCTTCTCTCTGTGATTGGGCATGTGATTTAATATGTCCCCTGCTGGGGTTATCTGTCCTTGGGTTGAAGGGTTGGAAATCGTGCCAAATGGGATAACATTGCCGGTGGACATCCAGGGGAGGAGTACGGGGGAGGCCTTCGTGCAGTTTGCTTCACAGGATATAGCTGAAAAGGCTCTAAAGAAACACAAGGAAAGAATAGGGCACAGGTGGGGATGGTTGGTTGGTTGGCTGGATAAGTTGCTTTTCTTATGGTGTGCACTCTCAACATCTGAACCAAATGCAAAACGTACACTACACTAATCTTGGCTAATTTAAGCATATCTGTAATAAATAACACATACACAAATTACCATGTTAGAATCAAATATGCCACACATTCACAATGTTCAATGGGAAGGTTAGTGCTTGGGCACCATTCACAAGGATTACACAAATCGTGAATTAGAGAACATGTTTAACTATGAGAACAAATGGTGTCTCAGCACTAAACATCAGTCTAGGATAATGAATGGTTAGGAGTCTCCTGGTGGTAAAATCAGAGGGCCGCTGTACACATGGATCTGGAGCCACCTTCACAGGTAATGCTTATTAGAGTGAGCTGCAGAAGGGCTGGAGCCCTCTCTGTCCCTCTAAAACCAGGACAATGGCTGTCATGGCAAGGACACAGGACGCTCTATTGAATCAGATATAAACTTGACTTCAGGTTACAATTAGAAAAGTGTCAGTTAATTAGGCCTTAACAATTTGGAAAGCTTAAGTTTTGAAACTCTGTTAATAAGTTCAATTTTTTTGTCTTTTAACAACTAGCATTAAGCACTCAAAGATATTACTACCTATGGACTACACCATGACAGCATCTGCATAGCCCAGTTTCATCAGTATTGAGCAAATGCAGCTGTGCCTGGTCCACTCCCCATGCGCTCATTGTGCTATCTCTATGCTCTTAGGTACATTGAGATCTTCAAGAGTAGTCGCGCTGAGGTGCGGACCCACTACGAACCCCAACGGAAGCCCATGGGCATGCAGAGACCCGGCCCCTATGACCGGCCCTCTGGTGGTCGCGGCTACAACATGATGGGCCGAGGGGGATCCTATGACAGAGTTCGTCGCGGAGGTTATGGAGGAGGTGGGTGCCAAGAGGACTGAAGTTAATCAGATTTAGTGATTATAAGCCTATGCACTTGTTGTTGATAATCACTCAGCCTATCGCCATTCACGCTGCACAATATAATTAATATGATATGAATGTCCTCATAAAATCTTGTGTTTATTCCGATGACAATTATATTCAGGTGTGTCTGATGGACGGTATGGCGATGGCGGCTCTTCCTTCCAGAGCACAACAGGCCACTGTGTCCACATGAGGGGCCTTCCATACAGAGCCTCAGAGACAGACATCTACAATGTAAGTCGGAAGACCTACTGCAAATGGTTTATTCGGTGCATATTGAGGATGTAAAGGTTGCATCTTACCATTTCCTTGTTTTTCTATGTCTTTAGTTTTTCTCGCCATTGAATCCAGTGCGGGTCCACATCGAGATTGGTCCAGACGGCAGGGTAACCGGGGAGGCAGATGTAGAGTTTGCAACACACGAGGATGCAGTGGCAGCCATGTCCAAAGACAAAGCTAACATGCGTGAGTTTTAAATGAAAGGACTTTCACCACTTCAACCGTGCATATAAATGACATAAAATATTATTCGTATTGATGTTCATGGTTTCACTCCCCTCTGCCCCTCAGAACACCGCTATGTCGAGCTGTTCTTGAACTCAACAGCAGGTGGCAGTAACGGCGCCTACAGCAGCCAGATGATGGGTGGCATGGGTGAGTTCAGTAATGGAGGTTGTGAGACTAGTGGCGTCTGTTGGTTGGGAGGAAAATGTCCTTGTTGCCTTGATCAAAAGGAAAATACTAGGTCAGGGTTTGAAGTTAATACCGGTTTTCTATTTGTAGGGTAGGGTGCTTGGTTTTGTTAGTCATTGTATTAGGGATTCTGTACATTTTGTGTGATTATGTCTGGTTTTATTACATCAGGGACCATGTTGGAAAAGTTAATACTTCCCATGGTGTCAGTTTTTTTTTTTACTTGAATAAAATCAGTTAAGCTTGATGCTTGGCCCTTTACTCAGGCAGCAGCAGACAACATGTATTTGGAATAATTCAAATTGGGTGATGTGTTCCTGACCCCGGCATCTTCTGTCCTTTAACAGGGAACCAGTCGTCATACAGCGGGGGCCAGCTGAGCTCGGGGTATTCTGGTGGATACAGCAGCCAGGGGAATATGGGCGGCTACAGTGACTACAGTGAGTATCAGCTGAGTGACAATGGGGTTCTTCTAAATACAACCTGACGTAGAACCTTTCCTGTTCCCGAACACATTTACTGAGTGCACTTGAGTATTCATTTGCATCCCAGTGAACCCTTTAGAACAAAATGTGTTTGCTTGCTGGAGCTCCTCGGTCCTATAGTGTGTATTCTCTTTCTCTTGTTAGGTAACCAGGGCGGAATGGGAAGCAGTTACTACGGCGGCGGCGGTGGAGGAGGAGGAAGCAGAGGCTCTATGAATGGAATCAGTGGGGGATGGGGAATGTAGTTTTTTTTGTTCCTCCTTAATATGACGTGTTTTTTTAAGTCAGCATTTTGCTGGAAGGACTGGAAAGGCAAGTCTCACCTAGTTAACATAGGGTAGGATCAGGTGAGGTTTTTTTCAAAATATCAAGGGAGGGGGTAGGGTTTGTATTTCTTTTTTTTAAGTGGATGATCTTCAGCAAGAATTGAGATCATCTGTTGTCAGAGAGAAGCGTTGTTTGTCTTCCCCATTCCCAACAGTTTTGACACATCACAGAAACCGTGCTTTAAATTTTACATTACCATGAAGTGTGTCGTTTGTGTTGCCATTACCATCAGAACCCTGTCTGTTCCCCATGTTAACTCATCCTGCGCCGGTGGTGTTAACATTACTTTCAATGGCTGAGTGCATGAACAAAAAAAATCAGAACATTTCTATCTTCTGATGTTTGAACCTTGTTTCACCTTCTTCATAGTGTTTAGCTTTTTTAATTCCCAATCTGAATTTCAGTCCGAGCATGTTATGTTTCCTTAAGGTTTGACTGAAAGTTGGGCCGTGTTTTCTGGATGAGGGATATGTCGGGGCAAGTGAATTTCAAATCTGTTGACATGAAGGTTTCTACTGCTTTCGAATGCTATTTGTATTTCCTGTGCACAAAGTGAATAAACTAGTCTGGAATATCTAATTGAAACAAGCTTTGCAAAATGAGTTTTTATTCATTTATCAAATGGCTAGATAAAAAAGGTTTGGTCAACATTCCCAAATTAATTTAAGAAAATGGCTTTGTAGCAGTCGACACAATCCACAAAACCTTTCTGTAATAATACATTCTACAGTCATTTACATAATGAGTTTGCATGTGTACAGTGGGGCCAGAGCTGTAAACATGAGAATGGATGTATGACTAGATGAAACAATATCAAAGTATATTGGTTAAATGTAATCGCATACATGAGCCACAGTAACAACCAGTATTGGGACGTTATTACAATCTAAATCAGATTTTAGAATTAGACAAATTAAAATGGCGAGTTTATGGAGAACCCAAAGTAACCTTGATCACATAAATATAATGTTCAACCTTTAAGCCAAGTCAAGATTATTTCTAAACTATTATAGCTCATCCTGTCAGTGTTAAAATGTGGCCCCTAATTTCATATAGCTGAACCAAAGCTCCTGAATTTCAAGTAAAGTGGAAATTAAAAACACACATTTCCCTAAAGATTTGATGACATGTTCTGTAACGAGTAGTTTAAAAAGCATAGTGGTTGAGTATGTGCAGTGTTATGAAAGCCGCTGTAGAAACGTTGAAGCTTCAGATGTTTTGTCAGGAAGCTGTGGAGACGCTCCTCTGCAGCAGCAGGGCGTGGCACACATCGCACACCCTCACAGGCCGGGGGTACGAGGGTAAGGCCAGCTCGTTACTGGAGCAGTTGTTGCAATAGATGTCCCCACAGTTTCTACAGTGGTGCTGCAACACAAACAAGGACACCTCAATGTCATTGCTGGGAGGATCAATACAGTGTAAATCCTTTAAAGAGATTAAACTCATTGTTATGCAAGTGTCCTAAATCAGTCGATTGAAAATGCTAAGACATGTGAACAAGGATTTCATGATTTTTGTGACATTAATTCCAAAATCCTCAATTGGTAATATAAAATTATTTTTTGAATCAACTAAAGGCAAGTCCAATTGATGTCATGCAGATCCAGATAGCAGAACTTGTGGGTAGAATTGGTATTAAAACTTCTCCATCTTAAGCTGTATGAACATTAGTAGAAAATAAAATGAAAAAGGAGGCTACCTTTCTGCGTGCGATGGAGAACTCCTTATCGCAGTGCTTGCACTGAGTGGCCTCGTCGTCTTTCAGCCAGGCGTGGCCCTGCGAAATGAACAAACAAGATATGACTTGTTATGATTCTCTGTTCAATTTTACTGCATCAATTATACAAGTACACCATTATTCACTTTTTTTTTTACCTTCAGGGCTTTATTGACCTCCTTGAAGTCCTCCATCTTCAGTTTAGATCTTTGACAAAAGATGACAAAAACCTCAGTATATGAAATGGTACGTGATTTAACGTTAAAAGAGAGGGTAATAGAATGAGAAGGACTGACTGGCTGAGATGCAGGCCCATCTCCTGCAGAGCCTGCTCCTGCTGCTCACATGTCTGCCGCAGCTGCTGCTTCTCGTGCTTCAAATCCTGCAGCTCCTGCACGTCACACAAAACAACACCTTAACACACAGCACTGCACAGGAGTCAGTGTTTCCATCATTCCTGATCCTCTAAACCTTAAAAAATAAATAAAACATTTTACTGAGGCCGTTTCACCAAATGTAATTACTGCAATTACATTCCTAATATCGATTTATTAAATAAAGTTGTGAAAGATTTCTAATTTCAGATTTATACGTACTTACAAGTAACTTTTCTGATTGAGATTTTCCCTTGATCAAACATTTTCTGTTCTACCCCATACTTGTGATGTTATAAAGTCTTTAATGTGGACCTGTGAACTTAATTAATGTATGCCAATCAAACTTTGCCAGACATAATTATAAATGTCATGGTGAACATAGAACATAAGAACATTATAAACTGTAAAGTGATTAGGTTTTCATCAATTCCAGAGAAGAATCCACTTCTACAGCTGACTGATGCTGATAACTTGTGCGTGTCACGTACGGCGTTCAGGCCCTGCAGTTGCTGCAGCTGTGTGCGGAGCTCGATGCTGTTGTCTTGTTCCCGCTGCAGAGCTTTCTGCAGGCTCTGTCTCTGCTCCCTCTCAGTGCGCAGCTCATTCTCCAGACCCAGCCTGAGAGCAGAGGAGACATGGAGAGACTTATTAACTTAGAGTATAAGTGGCACAGGAAGTACCAACCAAAATCTATTTTGGAGATAAGTTTTACTAAATCATCCAAAAAGTGAGCTCCAAGAAGAGCTTCTTAACTGCTCCTAAGCTTAGTATTAGCTAATGTTAGCCATATTAGTACAAGGTTTAAAATCTCATCTTGAGCATTAGGTTAACTGACAGCTGTTTCTCCTCAATGTTTTGCAGTTTGTGCACTTGTTCCACTATCATTCTTATTTTGTTCAAACTGTGTGTGTTAACCTTAGCGAATCCAGGTCAGTCAGTTGTTTCTGCAAAGCATCCACTTTCCCGTCGAGGTCCACCTTCATATCTTTGTCTGACTGGTCACTCTGTTTGCGCTCTCGCTCTGAGTTCTGTAATCTGTGAGGTACAAAAATAACAAGAAGAAGAAAATTAGTTAAGAGGAAAATCACTAAAGGAAATGTGACAAGCACAAAACATACCTCTGCTCTAGTTCCTGCATGGATTTCTCCATTTCATCCATCTTCTGCTCAAGCTGTGAAGCCTCCGCATGCTTTTTTTCTGCCTCTCGTTCAGAGTCCTTAAAAGCCACGTAGGTTGTGTTAATGTGCGTTCTATCTGAGTGGCCATGTGAGAGAAATAACAGGTGTATCCATGTGTGTGTACCTGAGCTTTGTGGAACATCTGCAGGTTAAGAGTCTTCACTTGGTCGAGCTGGAGCCTCAGGGCTGCCAGTGTGTCCTGTTTCTGGTGAGAGTCCTTCTCCAGCAGCTTCATGGCCACCTCTATCTCCTGCTTCAGGCCCACCTGCAGCTCCAACTCACGCTCCAGCTCCTGATGTCAAGCAACATACAAGAGGCATCAGTTAAATTCAGTTATAGAGTGTAATCTGTCAAAACAGCAGGATTGCTGATGTTTCAGATGCAAGATGCTGAAAAATACATTGATGCTTTTTTCAACTAGATTACAGATATGCTATTACTTTAATTCTCTCTTCCAAAACAGTCAATTTAAAAATGTCAACTTATTCAGCCTGATATGATATGATAAAGTATATCATATATTTTAGCTATACTCTATTTACTCCCAGTATCTTCACACTTTTTGTTGTGTTATAATTATTCACTAGCTCTCAGATCTTGTGCTGCTGGGTTTTTAAATACACATTACTACGCAATTATAAACACAAGGATAAGGTCAGTTTTTTTAGCTGAATTTTGTTGAATGCTGATTCAATGTGGATAGCTCTTGGAATTCTTTTTTAAAGTGGACCTATCATGCTATATTTAAATGATATATTGTAGGGCCATACCTATATAAGGTATATTTATACGTTTCTGTTTTCAAAATACCAAACAGATCATGCATTTTAGCCATGCCTCATTTCGCTCTATGTGCTGTTTGCTGTCTACGGGTCTGATTCTGCTGACCACGCCCCCCTGCAGGAGAGGTGAGCCGTGCTCTGATCAGCTGCTGGGCTGTCAGAAGAGGGGGAGAAAAAGAGATCTCCGTCCTCCGTGTTTTATTATATAGAGTTGTTATTCATTTGTTTTAAAGCTCAATAAATAACAAAGAAGACCTTTGACCGGCACTTTTCTAATTTTGTCCGGAAGATTTAAACTTTAACGGACATCTTGACCGGCGAAAGTAACTGAAACTGAAACTCTGCCGCACGGTCTCCTCGTTCCTTGGAAGAGGCGGAGAGGTGGGTGTTTGTCATCTGCTGGTGGACTAACCGGAGAGAATTACAGTGCTTGCCTCGACGGGGAGGGATTGCATTGAATTAAAGCAGCGGGAGCAAACGCTTGCCTCGGGGAGGAAGAAAAAAAGCCACAGCGGAGAATAAACAGAAGGGTAACCATGGTAACTATGGGCGGGAAGTCTTCTTCGCTGCTTTTGTGGCAGACAACAGCGCCACTTACAGGCCTGGCATATGTACTACAGCGTCTCCATCGCTTTCGAGCGGCAATGGCCGGCCGTGGCCCAACCCCACATTCCCCTGATAGGTGGAGAGTTGGCCCAATAGCCGTAGCGCCACCGTCCTGACGTCAGGACAGTGTTCAAATCTGGATCAGTTTTTATCAGATCCGTTGCAGCCCCTTTTTTAGAGATTTGGGTATGGAGGAAAATAGAGAGGGTTGTGTTTTCTGACACTTGGTGAGTTCCCTGGAACACCGGGGACACATATTCATGTATAAAAGACGTACAAAAGTGCATTTTGCATGATAGGTCCCCTTTAAGAGAGCAGAAAACTATTTCTTAATAATAAAATGAATAAAAATAAAACAATTTCTTTAATTTAACCTATAGTTAAAGTGATTTTATATATATATATATATATTTTTGAGCAATTCTCTCATTTACATTATTTTACATTGTCTATTTTTTTTTAATTTCAGTTAAGTTTTTTTTAGCATTTACTGTCTTTCTATTGTCTATTTTCCCTTGCTTTTTGAAAGGCACTCTGAGCTCCATGTCTGGTAAGCATTATTATTAATACTATATGATCATCAACACTCACACATAGCTCACACTGCTGGATTCTGTCGAACTATGTAATAACTGTTGATAATCAATACTTATTTTCCATATGCATGACATATTATTGTGCTATAGACAGTTGATTTCTGACCTGGCGAATTCTCTTTTCCTCTTTGTACTGCGACCAAACCACATTGTACATCTCATCCAGGCCCTGTCGAGTCTGTTTGTATGTCTCCAGCTCCACCTGGCTGTCCATGAGGGCGGTCTGGGAAAACAAAACATCAACGTCATAGGTATTTTTTTAGGTTAGGTGAGGTTTAGTGAGTGACTGGTGGATTCTGACCTCTTCCTTTTTCTGACTGGACTGCACGATTGTCTCATTCTCCTTTCTCAGGTGTTCCTGTTCCTCCCGCAGGGAGTTGATTCGGTCTGTCGCTGCCGTCAGCTGAGGACAAGAAAACACACGCTTGGTGGTTAAACCAACCTTTACGCACACAGATGCTTTGTTGACATTGGATAGGAATGCATTCTAACACAGTTCACACCTCTATTACAAGCTTGCTGTTGGTCTTCTCTATAGAGTCCATCTTAGCCTGCAGGTCAGTGACGGTGCCACTTAGGTGTCGATTCAACTCCTCAATGTAGTGCTTCTGATCTAGTATGGCTGTCATCTTTGAATCGCTGAAAGGGAAAATATAAATCTGTTCAAGATTTGAATGTGCATTAGGTCTCTTTTGATCCTTCCTGGGGTTAAAACGAAAACAAAGATCATAAATCGGCTCAAACATGATCATTAAATCCATCTGAAAGCATGAACTCACTCTTTTGGAGTCTCACTGTTGGCAGTGTCTTTCAGATAAAGGGAAAAGTCAATAACTCCAACCTAAAAAGAGAAACAGATCACTGTGTTTAACCCTACATTTTCTCAAAGATTAAATTAGGTGTGACTGGGATGTGTAGGCCCATAAAACCTGTCAGCACTCACCTGAGAATCGAGATCCTCCCCTTTTATACAGAGGTTAGCGTCAATTACATTGAGGCCTACCAGCAGTCCCCCAATCACAGCCCCCTCGTCCTCCATCATCATTGCTCCAGAGTCATAAAACTCACTAGAAGGAGAAAGACAAGGAGGGATTAAAGGAAGCGTATGAGAGGATAAGAATGCATGGAAAATGTGGAAAATGCACCAACGTAATCCTTAAACATGTTAGTATTCTAGCATTAAATAACGGTTATAATAAACACACAAAATGTCAGGCTACTAACCTCAGGAGATCTTTGCGGTCCAGCAAAGCTTTCATATAGTCAGCTACAGTCTTCTGCATGAGCGCTAAATGTAGCCAAGCCCTTCCTCTACCCAAGCCGGTCCTGAAAAGAAGAATAAGTAAACATTTAACAACCAATCATCAAAATAGTGTTAGTCATTTTTTACATTGTAGGTATACTGGAGAGTTGTAATAGCATACTTAATGCCGGGCAGGTCTCTGGCACTTGTGGCAATGTTAACAGACTCCGGACACAACTTCTCAACAAGTTCCAGAGGTCCCCATATGGACTTGTTCTGACCAATGAAGGATTTCTTAGCTGAAAAAACAAATTGTAATAGTCATTTATGCTTTCTCTGGTACTGATATTGAATCATTAAAAACGAATCCTGTCAAAGGTCAGCCTGATGGACCATCTCACCTTTCAGCCCATGTTTGAGGCAATGCTCCAGCACGACAAAGAATTGCTGCAAAGGAGGGTAATCCGAGTCCAGCGTCCTGCCCAAACTCAAGGAGGACTGAATTAATACTTTGATGCTCAGCTTCATCATGCTGAGGAGGTTGGATCTTTCTATAGCCATGGGGTCTTTGGGGGGCAGAACTGTAAGGAATGCAAGGAAAAAGGAAAAGCATTGCAATAAGATCAGTCACACAGATGCAGGCTAGGAGGAGATGTCATGCATGTCTTAAATTGCAGGATAAACACTAGATGTAGTGAGAGAGGAAACAGCGTTATCTTGTCCACGCTCATTAACCCCTGAAATCGATGTTTTGCTTCAGAAGTCATGTGTCCTGACAGCTGACCATCAGTTTACAAGAGGAAGTGAGATAAACTTTATAGCTGCATGTTTTATGAATGTTAGTTTGAGTGCAAAAGTTAGTTGTAGTGTCAGCCTACCTGGAAGTTTTTTTGAAGTGTTGTTGAGGTTATTTTCGGACTCCCTCTCCGTCGGGGCGCTCGCAGCAGAGGGGTTTCTCGGGGCAGCAGCGTAGCTTACCCCGCTGCTAATCGTCTCCGTGGCCTTCCGAGCCAGAGACAGGATGGGAGCCGACCAGCTGCTCTCTGCCGCCGCAGGAGACGCCTTCTCCGGCCGCTCCGGCTCCTCGCTGCCGTCGGACTCGAGGTCGGGTGCGGCTTCAGAAACTTCTGGCTCATGTAGTTGTTCTGCTTCGCCATCTTCAACAGCTGTGTTTACTTCCCCTGCCTCGTCGGCCATGTTTGTCCCCCCTCCCCTTTCCCCGAGTATTCACGTGACCACAGCAGAGCAATCAGGCGCGCTGTGAGAACTTTATTCTTCTTCTTTGGTGTTATTGGCGGTTGAGGAGTCAGTTCATTTGCACTACCGCCTCCCATTGGATTATATATAACAAAAACTCAGTCCTGCAAATCCTGCAGTTTAACTAGGTTAATCTTGAAGTCTTGACCCACTTTAAAGCCAGCACTAAAGCCCCCTACCCACAGAAGACACTTAACTTAATAAGTCACAGTAGGACAATACAGGTGTACATGATGAAAGTAATGATAAATACCATTTAGGTGCTCCAGTGTTAGGGTACTGGTATTTTGCATTCTATCACACTGTCACACAATATAGAGGCTATGAATTATACTATATTCAAAAAGTGTTGGACAATGTAATAGTTACACTACTCTCAAATAGCTCAGTTTCTCCTGTAGGCCTTAGAAAACAATGAATATCCATTATTTTTACATTGTTTAATAAAATATGATGTTATATGTTCTAGACTTGTGAATACATAATCTTACACATATTAAAAAAATGTGTATATTTTAAACAATATTTATTAACAATATTTCAGTGTTGCCTTGTCTGATCTTACAGTAAATAGTCTGATTATTTGCTCTGAAGTAGTCTATAATGGTCATGGTAATGTCACGATTGGTATCATAATGCTAACCCTATACTCCCAACTTAAATTGAGACATTTGAGACTGAATTGAGACAAGTACCACTGCAGTCCTCTGTACACTCAGAGCAGGTGTGATGTAGTTCCTAGTTTCAGCACCTGGTGGCGCAGACAAGCTGTGAGTTTTTCGCCTGAAGAACATCTTTACAAGGTGCTTTCATTATTTATAGGCCTTTAGAAATTCACCAGTCTAGTTTGGACCGTACAGCTATTATTGTTGGTCTGCACGCTATTATTGGTTGTGTCAGCCAACCATTTTTAAATATCACAAATTATTTTTACTTTAAATGTTTGTGAGGGCTACTTTGCACTTTCACACTGCATATTCTTAGCCTGGAGTGCAGTGTGAAAAAAGCATTATGTGTATACCTGTGTACGTGTTTGTAGCCTTAGGGCCCTCATCTGGATTAAATAACAACACATCCATCCCTAGCCTTATGCAGACTGAAAGTGTGAGTGAATGGGTGGATATAGGTCAAGTAGTAACATTTAAACACCAACAAAAGTTGTAATAGTTTAATATCTATGTGTGTGTGTGTCTATCTATGTGTCTATCTATGTGTATATATATATGTGTCTATCTATCTATCTATCTATCTATCTATCTATCTATCTATCTCTCTCTCTCTCTCTCTCTCTCCTATCTATCTATCTATCTATCTATCTATCTATCTATCTATCTATCTATCTATCTATATATATATATATATATATATATATATATATATATATATATATATATATATATCTAATAACTATCTGTCTATCTATCTATCTATCTAATAACTATCTGTCTATCTATCTGTCTGACTTTCTGTCTGTCTGTCAAGTCTGTTGTAAGTCAAGTGCTATTCAGGTAGGCTAGGTAAAAGTGAGGAAAAATATAGTAGCCTACATATAGCCCTGATGAATTCCTAACACACTCCATGGAAACTTAGAAAGGATGTAGCCTACATTAAAAAGGCGAGGAACATCTCCTTAATAATTAATACCTTAGTAATGCTTACCACTGCAGCCATCAGAGTCTACTCTTTCTCATTTGGCCCTACATAATGTAACTGCACACCAAAGTGATTTAGCCTGATAATCCATGAATCAAAGCACAATATTGTTACATTTTTATAAAATAAAACACTCTTTCTACAGTATATTCCTGTGTCTTGCATTTCCACAGCAGCAGTCTCTCCTACTGTAAAGCTCAGCCTCTGTAGGCGTGGTGAACTTAAGGCAGCAGGCCATAAATACTGCAGAGCCTCTGTCCGGGCGCTCCTTCACTCTGCGCCTCTCTCACTGCAACATCCGGGACACTCCAGCCCTCTCAAGTAACGCCAAGTGTTCGCAAACAGGCGGAATTAATTCAAACGAAAAAATAACCAAAAAAAGCGAAAAGAAAGGAATATTAAGAGCCGGATCAAGAGAAAGGAATACAACTCGTACATCGTCGTATTTTTTCCCTGATAAAAATTCCGGGACGTTTTGACATCATGAGGATTTTCAGTGCTGTGCTCTTGCTGGTTCACGCCTTGGGTGAGTTTCATGTGCGCTCATTTTTGGATAACAATGTATCTTTCTTTGAAGTTGCCTATTCCGTTTAATATTACATTTCTAGCTGTGTGACATCTTGCTTATAACACTTCTCTAGTATGTCTTGTAAACTGTAAACCGGTTTTCATGATGCCAGGCTATTCGGGAGCTAGTGGGGTCATCTCTCTATTTTAGAGCATGCTTTATGTAACTGGATACATTTATTTTTAACTTATATTCTTGCCTGACATTAGCTAACTGTCTGTAAATGCATTTCATGTGTGTGTACGTACGAGACACAGGGATATGCCAACTTATATTTGCCCTCCCACTACATTTCCCTTCCAAAGACCTTAAACTGTCCCACAAGTGCCTGGCTTATTAGTTCAAGACCCACTTTTCCGAAGTGCAGCTGAGCAAGGCAGTGAATACCTACCAACCCTTAAAGAACATACTTTGTATCAGAGTGTGTCCATTTCCTTACAGGGATCAGTAAGATTGCACTGAAAGCCAAAAAGCCTGCCTGGAGCTACCTTGCTCAAAACATGTTTCAACTTGCCCTCATAGTTCCTCCCACCTTGGCACTCTAACCTGTGTGCATTAATTGTTCCCTAGGGGAAGAGTTTGTGTTAGGACTATGCCAAACCAAACTTAGATGCAATTTAACCATTCTAAACACTTTCATTCTCTCCTACAGTGGTGTCCAGAGGGGTCAGTGGAGCTGCGGTCGACAGGTATGAGAGTGACAGGCAACGACACACAGCTGTTATCAATTTGGACACGACCAGAGGCAGGAGGGTGGAGGAGGAGAGCAGAAGCATGAGTGCTACTACAGCGGAGTATGGTCAGCAAGTCGACGAGGAGGATTATGAAGATTATTACGATGAAGAAGAGTATGAAGATGGCATGTCTGGGGACTATGGTGAACTGCCACGAGGTAAGGGAGTTTGTCATTTCTCAAATTCATCACACGATTTTACTTTAGTCTTAACAAAGATTAATATATTTTTGTTTTCTGTTTGCTGTTTAGTTGCAATGGTAAGCAAACCAAAAGACCCGCTTGCCATCCTGGAGACTGAAAACCCAGAAGGAAACAGAAGAAGAGGAAAGGGAAAAAGGAAGGGGAAAGGCAAGGGAAAGAAGAGGAATCCTTGCCTGAAGAAGTATAAAGATTTCTGCATTCACGGCACCTGCCAGTACCTTAGGAGCATCCGCGCCCCATCCTGTGTGTAAGTACCAGCTCTGCAGACATCTGCACACCACCTCCCACACTCAGAGTCCAACCAAATTATTAATGATTCCCTCTCTGTCCTGTCTGCAGGTGCCACCAGAGTTACTCTGGGGAAAGGTGTCAGTTTTACACGTTGCCCGTGGAGAAGCCCCAGGAGGGCTACAACAGGACCACAGCTCTGGCGGTTGTGGCGGTTGTGCTGTCGTCTGTGTGCCTCACCATCATAGGCCTCTTATTGTTGCTCAGGTAAGCAAAACACAAAGATTCACTTGCAAACACACACTGACCACTATACACACATAGATAAAGGGTTTTTCTAGCAGCTTAGCTGATACTTGCCACGGTTAGACACTGAAAATAGTCTAAACAAGCCCCTTTTCTTTTGTGGATTACAGGTTTCACAAGCGGGGAGCGTATGATGTAGAGAATGAGGAGAAGGTCAAACTAGGGTTAGGGTCCAGCCACTGAAGAGACAAAGACAGGTGAGTTGTGAGGAACATAGAGACATACACTGACAAACATCTTCTTTATTTTTATTTATTTTCGTTGCCTGAATGAAATAAGGTTTTACTCATTGTCTCTCTCTTTGTTTCATTTTTAGGCAAAGATGTGGAAATTCTACCTCAAAATAGAAAAGGAGAAGTGAACTGCGAAAGAAGGTCCTAGAGGGAAAAGGATTGTACATGAAGAAGGGAACTGAGGTTGTCGTCTGCCTTGACCCTATGTAGACACTCAGATGAACAATGGGCAGAGGAACATATTCCTGAAGGCCTCAGAAGACGCTGGCCCAAACTGAAACTGGAATACTAACGGCCCAGAGGACGGACTGGAGATGTGAGCACGAAGGAACGAGAAGAAGGAACGTGTCTTGACTCTGTGCTGCTTCGTGACTGTGTGAGAAGAGGTCGCTTCAGATTGAACTGAGCAAGATTTTTAACAAAAGCATTTTGTATTTTCCTGCACAAGTCCATTTCTTTTTGTGTACAGTCAACGTTATATTTATAATTTTTATTTATTTATTTAAGCTTACTGTATTTATAGAGACTTTAACCACCTTCAACCGTTTTGAAAATAATGATGTTACAGTTGTTTTTTTATATTTCTTATTGGACAATATTTATTTATGAAACGAAAAGCAAACAATGCAGAAGCTCTTAAAGATATTCAGTAAAGAGATATGATGCATAATCATCTCATAAAGGCGTTAATTCTGGCACTCAGATGATCAATAGCACTGTGATTATTACATTGATCGTTAAATAGAGAATCGTTTTTTTAATTATTCAGGGTAGTTTCATTAAGTGCAAGGAAAGCCCTGCTCACCCTGACACAGTTACACATATTTATACCTGGACGCTGCAAAGTGAAACTGGGTGGATGAGTCAGCGATGAGTCAGCAACAAGGCAGCTCTGCCGTAGAAGTTGCTCAAAGGCACATCAGCGGTGATAGTGGGGTATAGGCTGCTTTTCCAGCCCACATGTTTAAGGATCTTTAGTCCACCTTAGGCCTAGATGTATGCCTTAATGTAATAAGGCAATGCGTTGCCCTGGGATATATTGA